AAAAATAATAATAAAAAAAAGAAACCAGCAGTATCTTTATTCCAGCTGCTGAGATGCTTTCATGCTCCCAACTTAACCACTTACTTCTGCTTCTTGGCTTTTACTCATGATTTTTTTGTCCCGCCTTCATTGTTTCTTTCCTTTTCTACTTGGTTACTTTCTACTTGTTCCATAAGTATTCTCTCAAGTATAATTAAATATAACTCCTGGTGTAGAAATAATTCCTTTCTCGGGGTTACCTCAAGCACTTGAATAAATAAGCAATTATAGGATTCAAATCAGAAAGAAAAGTAAAATAAAAAATTTGACCTGGAGACAGACTGTGCTGTTTAATTTTCCTTCTTGTTTCCCTAACCAAGAAAGTTGACCTTTTGATATATACTCTAAACCTTAAATATAATCTCTTAAAGGTTAATTGTGTCAAAGAAGAAACATCAAGATACTGTGGAAAAGAAAAGGATTTGGTGAGAGCATATTTATTCAGGTAAAGTATTTTTTTGAGTGTGATAGGCGGATATAAAGCTATACTTCAAGAATATTAAAATATACAAAATATCACTAAGCCAGAATAAAATTGTATACAGTTGTGGGGGGGAGGTCACATGAAGCTTAGCAAATAGTCTAAGTCATAGATTTGTTACCTGTGCTTCAGCTTCCTTATCTATAAAATGAGGTAAAATAGCTATAAAACCTACCTCACAGGCTTGTTTTGAATGTTACATGAGAATTCTTATGTAAACTCCTACTATAAGTGCCTGGAAAGTAAGCACTTCACAAATTTAGTGTTTCAAATAGATCTGTCAGGTCCATATTTGGGTGTGAAAGAAATGTATTTTTGAGAGATCTGCCAATGTCCCAGTTACAGATTCCTCTCCACTTTGGTCTCCTAGTCTCTCAGGTTTCTCAAAGTCTTTTTCTCAAACTGTTGGGATTTGGCCTAAGAAGTGGGGACATATTCTCTCTCCTCAGAGATCAGCTGTAAGGACAGTTCTTTTTCACTCCTACTCGTCTCCTTCCCAGCCCATTTAGGAAAAGTGTGTGTATGTGACTGGGAGGTTGGTAGGAAGCCTTGTTGAGACTTCTGTGCTTTCCCAGTCTTTTTGCCTAGCCCAGGGTCTAGGCTCTTCAAAGTCAACATATTTATTGAGTGAATATTCAATAAATATTTTTGTGTGTTTTACGGTCAGCACGCGGGTAGGTGAAGTGCATGGGATAATGTATAACACCCAGGCTCTAACATCAAAGAACTTAAAACCTACTGTATTAGAGAGACAAGAAAAATGAATTCCAAGGAGATATTTCTCTAATGCTTTTTAAATTTTTTTATAGGGGCAACATCTTACTCAGAGAATTCCCTACTGATACCTTGTTCGACGTGAATGCCATCGTTGCTCATGTTCTCTTGTAAGTACAGGGGGTACACATTCATTTATTGTTATTTATCTCTTGATTTCATTTGAGGCAGCCACAATCCATTAAAATATTTTAGGGTTTTAACATTATATTTGTAGACATTCATTTCATACAAATTCCTGGTCTATCTTCTCCCTATGTAGAGGATCTAAAATGTCTTGAATGGCAAAGGATACAGAAACATCTTTGTATAAAAATGGGAGAGGACACAATCACATGGTCATAGTATTGCTTTTGCTTTTGAATATAACTGTGGAGTAAGGATTTTACCAGGTAAAAAGCTCATCTTTGCTATTCTCACTGGGATTTTTTAAAATGTCTGGCATGCTTCTCACCCCAGTCTGATTTTTCTAGAGTCTGTAGCTCTGTGCCTACTCAGTAGGTGCAGAAACAGTGCAAATAGTCCCAGCACACATCTTAGTGTTTACTGAGAGAGAGAGAGAGAGAGAATCTAAATTTCCTTGGCATAGAATCTTTAGGCCTGGGATTTAGGCCTATGTGGAGTCCATTCTTGCAATCTCTCCCTGAATGAAGTCTGGTTTCCTCTTCGGTGACACAGCTAGAAGCTACGACTTCATCAGGGACACAAGTTTACATGGACTTGTCCAGTTTAATGTTGTATTAGGACTGCTGGCTACTAAGACCTTTGCTGACATTGAGTATCTTTGTTGTCTGCTTGGCTCCCCTCTTCCTTCTCCTCTCGGACTGGATTCCCATAAAAATTGGGTGAAAGTTAAATGACAGGAAATTCAGAACTTACAGGTGAAAAGTTGTGGTTATCACTTTGCAAATGGACACCTTTAAATGTTCCAGTACTCATCATATATAAATGAAAAGATTTTAGAAATCCCTGACAACCATGGAGCCTAAGGCCTGTAGACTAAGAAGCCAATTGTAAAGAGTGAATGGTGGCCTTTGGAGAGGAATTCCAAAGAGCTGATATGGCTTCTGTTCTCTAGGAATTTAGTGTTTTGTTACATAGACAGATACAGAAACAGGAAATATTATGTAGTAAGTAAATTGGTAGCAATTTGTGTGCATGAGGGCTTAAGGATCCACAGCATAGGGAAGAGTTACTTGTGTCTAGAATGAAGGTGGATATTTGTTAAGAAGGCTTCCTGGTGGAGGTGGCACCTGGGATAAATCTTAAAAGGATAAGTGGGAGTTTGCTTGGTGAAGAAACAGAAGGTGGGGAAAGCAGGGGAAACTGTGAACAAAGGCATGGAGGTTTGGAGGGGGGCAGTTTTTTTTTTTAAATAAATTTTTTAGAAGATTTTATTTTTTTTAAGAGAGAGAGAGCAGGGGGAGGGGTAGAGGGAGAAGCTGACTCCCTGCTGAGCAGGGAGCCCATTGTGAGTTGAAATCATGACCTGAGCCAAAGGCAGATGCTTAACTGACTGAGCCACCCAGGCGCCACATGGAGGGGGGCAGTTTTTACTGGAGTATGAAATGTGAAGCAGGAGATTATAGCAGAAGAGTAGGTATGGGGGTCAGATGAAGGGATATTTGTTTACCATGTGAAGAGGTTGAGGCTTTGGGGTAGCCACTGGAGGGTGAGGAGTTTAGCTCCAAGCCAGAATCCTTGCGTGACCTATGAGTCCTGACCATAGGCAATTATAGTCATTGTCTGGCAGGCCTCCTAGGGGAAAGGTGCCCTGCCCACACCAGACTGGGTGCATGCCCAGTGCATTGTGTTTTCTAGAGAAAATTGAGGTCCAAGACTCAGGCACCTAGGCCAGACATGCTCATATGTAACCTGTATTTTTAGCTCAAGTGTCTCCATTCAGAGGCCTCATTATCAGGGACCTTGACTGAGGCACCTCCCAGGTGCTTCTGCTAAGACCTCCTTATCAGGGGTCTTTGGTTGAGGCACATTTCTCCACTTGACTTGGTATCTTTCCACTTCTGGCTCTTCCCCCTTTCTTTCCCCTCAACCCATGAGTCCATAAAGAGTCAGGAGCCTTTTGTTTGGGGCCCCTTGGAATGAGATGCCTCCTTGCACCTGCACTGCACCCACCCGACCCTTGCCTAATGCTGGCCCATGGTGGGCGGGGCAAGGAATGGAGCATTGCAGAACTGGTGCCTCTCTTTTGGCCTCTGGCTTGCACTATCACAGTGAGTGAATAAAGGCTTGATTGTTACTTTAAGTTTGGCTCACTGTCCTGACCACCTCAAAACGTGATTGTTCAACGGAGGATTGTAGGCAGATAAGTGATATACTCAGAATAGTACTTTCGAGCTCTTTCTGGTGGATGTGAGACCGATTTGTGAAGTCCAAGCACACATAGAGACCATTGTGTGTCCATTATACAATCTAGGGAGGTAAAATAGAGATAGCAAAGAGGGGGTTTTCTTTTTAATGCCTAGGAGGTGAAATTAACTGGATTTGCTAAGAGCTAATTTGGTAATAATCAGCAAAAGTACAAACTTGAACTTACTCCCTAATCTCTTCTTTTCTGTCTTTCCAATCTCACTCAACCTCAATCCTCTCTGATCAACATCTGAAGTAGGCAAGAAAGAAGAACAGATTGACAGGGGAAGATGAGTCTACTTCAACAGGGGAATGCCCATCAGACTTGAGACTCTAGTAGGGATCTGTGGGAGTTTGAACCCCTGAGGAGTACAGATGTAGGTGTAGGCAACATACAGGTTATCCAGGGAGCATCTTACACAACACCAACACTTATGGGAAGAAGAAACTGACGGGGAAAAATAAATGTCAAGGAGGTAGAATTGCAAAGAGGCAATGTCCTCAACTGAATTTAAAATGTAAGAAAAAATGACTTGTAGAATATAGTATTTTACAAAAATTCTCAGTAGTGATATTTAGAATGTTGAAGAACTGTGCTAAATGTGCCATGTCATAGCTGCACCTTCCAAATAACCATGAGGGGGAAAAACAATACCTTTCAATCTATCATTCTACTTTTATGTGCTAAAACCATCAGTTTGAGATATCCAGCGCCTGGCAAGCAGTTTCTCTCTCCTGTACTTTTGCCGGTGCATACTATTCATTGAAATAGGACCTGAACTGTTTGGAATCTTTTGCCCATTTTTCTATCATGTTTGAACTTTATTAACTTTTAGATACTTTTTTTTTTTTGATTTATTTTAGAGAGGGAGAGAGAGTGCACAAGTGAGTGGGGGAAGGGGCAGAGGGAGAGAATCTTCTAAGCAGGGAGTCATCCCCAATCTCTTCTTTTCTGTCCCATGACCCATGAGGTCACGACCTGAGCCAAAACCAAGAGTTGGAAGCTTAACACACTGAGTCACCCAGGCGCTGCTAGATACTTTTTTTATATGAAGCAGACACAAACTAGATTCCCCCCAAGTTTGTCATTTATCATCTGAATTTCCCTATTTTTTTTTTTAAGACTTTATTTATTTGAAAGAGAGAGTGCACATGTGGGAGAGTACAGGGGGAGGGGCAGAGGTACAGAGACAATCTCAAATAGACTCCATGCTGAGCACAGAGCCCCATGTGGGGCTCAATCTCACGACCCTGAGATCATGACCTGAGTTGAAATCGAGTCAGATGCTTAACCAGTTGAACCACTGAGATGCCCGAATTTCCCTATTCTTTAAAGAATTATCTGGTCAGATTTATCTTTTCTCTTCTGAATTATAGGTTTTAAGTTTTACTGTGGTTTCCTTTATGCTTTTGTTTCAAAGGAATTTACCCATTTAAAAAAATAATAGATTTTGTTTATTTATACATTTTTCCAGTTTTATTTTTTATTTATTTTCAAGTTTTTATTTAAATTCCAGTCAACATCCTGTGTAATTATTAGTTTCAGGTGAAGGATTTAGTGATTCATCACTTACATATAACACCCAGTGCTCATCACAACTAGTGCCCGCCTTAATATCCATCACCCATTTAGCCCATCCCTGGCCTACCTCCCTCCATCAATTCTCCATTTATTCTCTGTAGTTAAAGGCCTGTTTTATGGTTTGCCCCCTTCCCTCCCCCGCCATGTTCATTTGTTTTGTTTCTTAAATTCCACATATGAATGAGATCATATGGCATTTGTCTTTTTCTGACTTATTTTGCTTAGCATAATACACTCTGGGTCCATCCATGCTGTTGCAAATGGCAAGATTTCATTCTTTTTGATGGCTGAGTAATATTCCATTACACACACACACACACACACACACATACACACAAACATACCACATATACACCACATCTTCTTTATCCATTCATCAGTTGATGGACATTTGGGTTCTTTCCATAATTTGCCTGTTGTTAATAATGCTGCCATAAACATTGGGGTGCACGTATCCCTTCAAATCAGTATTTTTGTAGTACAGTTGCTGAATCCTAGGGTAGTTCTATTTTTAATTCTGTGAGGAACCTCCACATTGTTTTCCAGAGTGACCACACCAGTTTGCATTCCCCCCAACACTGCAAGAGGGTTCCCCTTTCCCTGCATCCTTGCCAACATCTGTTGTTTCCTGTGTTGTTATTTTTAGCCATTCTGATGGGAGTGAGGTGATATCTCATTGTAGTTTTTATTTGTATTTCCCTGATGATGAGTGATGTTGAGCATCTTTTCATGTGTCTGTTAACCATCTTGATGTCTTCTTTGGAAAAATGTCTATTCATGTCTTCTGCCCATTTCTTAACTAGGTTATGTGTTTTTTTGGGTATTGAGTTTGTTAAGGTTTTTTTTTTAATTTTTTTTTTTTAAAGATATTATTTGTTTATTTGACAGAGAGAGACACAGCGAGAGAGGCAGAGGCAGAGGGAGAAGCAGGCTTCCCGCTGAGCAGGGAGCCCGATGCGGGGCTTGATCCCAGGACCCCGGGATCATGACCCGAGCCAAAGGCAGATGCTTGATGACTGAGCCACCCAGGCGCCCTGAGTTTGTTAAGTTCTTTATAGATTTTTAGATACTAACCCTTTATCAGATATGTCGTTTGCAAATATCTTCTCCCATTCCGTAGGCTGCCTTTTAGTTTTGTTGATTGTTTCTGTTGCTGTG